TCTGGCATGCAACCTGGAGACTGAAGCCTGGAGAATTTGGCATGCAACTTGGAGACTGAAGCCTGAAAAATCTGGCATGCAACCTGGAGACTGAAGCCTGGAAAATTTGGCATGCAACCTGGAGATTGAAGCCTTGAGAATTTGGCATGCAACCTGGAGACTGAAGCCTGGAGAATTTGGCATGCAACCTGGAGATTGAAGCCTTGAGAATTTGGCATGCAACCTGGAGACTGAAGCCTGGAGAATTTGGCATGCAACCTGGAGACTGAAGCCTGAAAAATATGGCATGCAACCTGGAGACTGAAGCCTGGAAAATTTGGCATACAACCTGGAGACTGACCACTGGAGAATTTGTCATGCAACCTGGAGACTGAAGCCTGGATAATTTGGCATGCAAAGTATGTGCTCTGCCACAAAGTGGTGGCCCCTTTCTTTCTTTTTTTAAGCTCCACCACTTAGTTATGACTCCCTTCCATCCTTCCTCACCTTCTCCATCCAGCTTCTTTTGCTTCCCAATTCCTGTAACCAGCAGAGGAGAGAGAGAGAGTAGCATGGAGGAACTGTAGCTTGGCTAAAACAAAACACAGTGACAGAGGGACTGTCTGCAACACAATTCAATTTCAGGGCCATTCCAGCCAATAATGGAAGGACTCTAAGCAGAACATAATGAGTCATTCACGGCATAATGCAATCCTAATTACAATGAAGAAGGGAGCTGAGATGGGTTTTGGAACTGGTTCCATTGCATTGGATTTGGTGAGGTCACAGGAGAGGACGGCCCTCTTTGAGCATCACATAAATCAATTTCTAGCATGCAGACATGCCATTTTTAAAATGGAAAAGGAGACAGACACTGTCTCCTTCAATCAAGCAGCTCAGCCACAAAGAAAAAAAGACTTGCATTCTGTATCAGCCAATTAGCTAAGTATAGTTAACAAAATATACAGCATGGTGTAGTGGTTTGAGTGTTAGACTATGACTCTGGAGACCAGGGTTCAAATCCCTGCTCTGCCATGAAATCCACTGGGGGACCTTGTCACTGTCATGCCCTGCCTGGAGG